TTTGTTTGTTTTCAATGTTTTCTTCTAATAGGTAGACACATTCTCATGTACTCTGTTAATACATTATGCCAGAAAGTACTACAAATGCTCTTGATACAGAAACCTTGATGAAGAGTTGGATTACCTGGTTCTAATCTCAGGTTATGTAATAGCTAGTAACCTTGAGTAAATTGCTCTCAAAACTCAATTTCCTTTTCTGTAAAACAAGGATAGTAATATCCACTCTTCCAGTATTACAGGGTTGTCAGGAGGATCATTCCAGATAATTTGTGGGAAAGTGTAAATTTGTGGTCTTGAACTAATCATACTCAATCCTAAAAACCTGAAGTATTGATAAAGTTAATTGTCAGAGGTATACTTACTTAGTGTTGAGAAAATTTTAACAATTATCTTTCATTGTGTGTTTTACAAGTAGTATCATTGGGGTGCATTTTAAATATCCATTAGAAATCTTAGTTAAGAATTTTGAGCTCATAAACTTGGTAAACTTAAAGCATCTTTTTTCACAAATAAATTGTTTGGTAATTGGCCATTTAAATAACCGTAAAATTATGAAAACCTTGAAAAGCAATTGAATAGCGAAAGAATTTTTTAACCTAATACTGACATAATCACTGATTTTGTATTTTAGAGATGCTCTTAGTGATCTTGCATTACATTTCCTGAACAAAATGAAGATTATGGTGGTTAAGGATATTGAAAGAGAAGACATTGAATTCATTTGTAAGGTAAAATATTCTTAACATCTGTATGTGTGAAAATGTTCGATACTCAAATATCTCAGTTTGTGGATTTGACTATTTTTCCTGTCTAGACGATTGGAACCAAACCGGTTGCTCATATTGACCAGTTCACTGCTGACATGCTGGGATCAGCTGAGTTAGCTGAGGAGGTCAATTTAAATGGTTCTGGCAAACTGCTCAAGGTAACAGTATTACAGTTAGTAGCTTTTATATTTACCTAGGTTTTTTTGTTGGGTGGCGGGTTTTATTTGTGTCAACCCTTACTTCAAATACCTAATTAGGAGTTTGTTTACTAAAGATTACAGGCTGCGCAAGCCCTGGAAAAACAGTTACAATTGTTGTTCGTGGTTCTAACAAATTGGTGATTGAAGAAGCTGAGCGTTCCATTCATGATGCCCTATGTGTTATTCGCTGTTTAGTAAAGAAAAGGTAATGTTAAATTACTCAGTAACATTTTGAGCATAAAAACATAGGTATTTTGATTTTTAAGGTGTAAATACTGTATTATTTTAATATAGCTTTCTACTGGATAAAATAAGCTAAAAATATATTTGTGAATTTCAGAGCTCTTATTGCAGGAGGTGGTGCTCCAGAAATAGAGTTGGCCCTACGGTTAACTGAATATTCACGAACATTGAGTGGTATGGAAGCCTACTGCGTTCGTGCTTTTGCAGATGCTATGGAAGTCATTCCATCTACACTAGCTGAAAATGCTGGCCTGAATCCCATTTCTACAGTAACAGAACTAAGAAACCGGCATGCCCAAGGAGAAAAAACTACAGGCATTAACGTCCGAAAGGTAATTTAATCTTTAATCTAAGGTGAGAAGAGAAAAAAAAAAAGAGGCTAAGATGATGAAAAGAGTATTTTGAGGCCGGAAGACTGGAGACAGAATTGCCTGTTGTTAATCCTGGGGTAAAGGTGACTAGGTTAGTGGCAGTAAGAATCTGAAAGTGGAAAATGGGAAAGATATAAAGGCAGGGCAGACCAGACTTGGCCAAATTCAGAATTAGGATTCAGAGATGATTTAAAGTCTCATTACTTTTAATAACTACAATCATCTTATTTTTGTCAGAATACTTTTAAATAAAAGAAACTTACAAGGAGTTGTTTTAGAGTGAGGATAGGCAGAATCCAGCGTTAATTCAATTTTTCCAAATGTTAGTTGAAGTACAACCTACAGTGTAGAGAAGAGCTTAGTAGGGAGTATCTTACTCTTGACTAGACCAGGGGAAAACTAAGTTTGAAAGGCCTTAGGGCATACTGGTAGTGTAGTTGGCCATGTGTATCATTATAAACACTAAAAGCAACTTGGACTGACTTGCAGGGTGGTATTTCCAACATATTGGAGGAACTGGTTGTTCAGCCTCTGCTGGTTTCAGTCAGTGCACTGACTCTAGCAACTGAAACTGTCCGGAGCATTCTGAAAATTGATGATGTGGTAAGTATACATAGGTTGTGAACTTCCCTACAAAGTCAAAAAGGCATTTTTTGTTTGTTTTCAAGAGTTGGGGTAGGAAGCAGTAAATGTTAGTTTGCTAGTCATTAAGGGTGAAAAGCAGTTTATATTTCTAGTTTTCTCTCATCTATAAAAATAGGTAGATTTGTACAATTGCCTTAAACATCTTTCATCCTTAAAAATCTGTCATTACAGGTTTTGAAACTTAAGTTTTTGTTTTTTTTTCAGGTAAACACTCGGTAATCCGGGTAACACTGGCTGACTGGCGCCATCATCATGGCCACTAATAATGCATCTGGAGTGGAAGAGCACCTTGGCATCCTTATTGTTTGGAAGATTTGTTTACTTTGTGGATTTCTGGGCCTGGTCTTCCAGTTGACATTTGCTTGAAATTGTATTGACACAGTTTAATAAAAACATTAAAATGTTTGGTTTCAAAAAGCAGATTCATTTACTGCCCTCCATTATCTCCTCCCCAACGTTCTATTATTTCTCACACTGTTGAAAAACCTGTATAAAGGGGGTGAAAAAAAGTTCACATTTACCTGTTAACTTTCTTAGGGCTTAATCCTGGGTACTTTTAAGTTTTGTTCATGTGCGTTTTTTAATAGAAGTAATGAGAAGGGGGAAAAATGATCCAATATGTTTATTACCCTGATAAATCCCCATTTACAGTAATATATATGCTGTTTGAAAAGGTAACAGTACAGAAAGTGAAAAATGAAAGTTTTTTTCATTCTAATCCCTTTCTCCAAGAATAACCACTGATCTGTTAATTGGGATTCCTTCTAAAAGTAAAAAATGTCTGCATATATATAGGAAATCAATTATTTGTAGGAAAAGGATTCTTAACTAGTAATTTTGCAGTGATTTAAAACATCTTTATTGCCTCTATCCTGATCAACCAGCACCATCTCTAACCATAAATAGTGCAGCAAAGTTGTTGGTAACATTGGCAAACAAGTGAAATTCTAACATACACAGTTTTATTTTCATCTTACTGTAAAAAATATCAGCCAACATTTCATGGTGGAAGTATGTTAATGGATTAGTTGCAACCATAGATTGGCTATAGGTACAAGAGTTCAGCGACAACCGATGAAAGTATTCTGGAGAATCAATTGTGAGGGGTTTTTACATGTATGTAAGCATAGTCACACAATCCCAGAGAGACAGGAGCCAGTCACTAACCATTTACCAGCGTGCGACTGGCAGACATCCTGCAGCGGCAGCACCTGGGATTTCCCCCAGTATTGCATCTGAGAACATGCTCTTCAGAGGGAGCCCTAGCCAATGACTGAGCTGGCAGGGCAAGTAGGGTCTGGCCATTTCTGCTCTATGAGCCATCTGTGTACTGGAACTTTTCAGCTGGCTGAGACTTTCTCAGAGCTGTCCTATAGTATCAACCTCCTACAGGAGGAGTCTCCCTTCTCTTCCTCCTTTCTTGGCCTGAAAACATTCCTACTCTTCTCTGTCTTTCACAGTGATTTCCCCCAATAAATCTCTTGCACTTCTAACTCCTTGGTATCTTCCTGAAGGACCCAAACTGAGCAGGGGGGCAGAGGAAGGGACAAGTGAATGAATAAACTTAAAGTGATAAGGACAATGTTAACAGTGCAGAGTGCAGATTAAATTTAATAAGAGTATGCCTTTTCTGTAACTTACATTATGAATGGCACAAAATAATGAGGAAAATTATTCCAGTATTGGAAAACTCAGTAGAGTACTATTCAGCAATTTAAATGGCACAGGCTACTCATCTATACAACATGGATGAATCTGAAAAACAAGCAAAACTGCTGATCAAAAGAAGTTTAAAAGCAAAAGGAGCACATACAGTATGATTCCATTTATATGAAGTTCTAGAACAGTCAAGGGAGTGGAATGGGGAACAGACTGGGAAGGGGCATGAGAGATCTTTCTGGAATGATGGAAATGTGCTATCCCTTAGTATGATTTCATGAGTGTATGCATTTGTCAAAACTCATTCAACTATGCATTTAAAATCTGTTCATTGCACTGTATATGTTACATTTCGATGCAAAAGTGCAAAAGTAATTCTTCCTATGATGATGCAAAATTTACCGTTTTTTTTTCCTGTAGATCTGTCCATTTCTGCTGTATATACTTGGAGGCTATGTTACTAGATGTCTGCAAATTTAGAATATTGCTGGTGAATGGAAGCTTTTCTGCACTTTTACATACATACACACACACGTCCTCCACATTCATTCTTCTATCTATTCTATTCTAGTCATCCATTTGCAGTGTCTCAACATGTAGACCTGTCTTGCTGTTTTAGGGGGCCGGGTTTACATCAGATTCCAGGAGGAGTAGTGCAGCCGCAGAATTAGCTGCATGCAAACAAGAGGAAGTGCCTTCTATAGTATCGGGGCATCCATACCTCATGGGCTTTCAGCTCGGGTTCTGCGCAGAATCCAGCCAGCATCTGTTCCAGTGTTTGAAGCAAATGCTTAACCAAAACAAAGCAGCCTGAAGAAGCGAGGGAGTAACAGATTTTGCAGGTGCTCACACTCCAGACCCGTGAACAAGAAAGGCTTGGTATGGAAGGCTCAGACCTCAAAGGTGGATTCTGGACATCGCGCGCTGCCCACTGTAACTTTGGTGGTGATGGCGGGTGGTAGGGCCAGGAACAGAAGGAGGCTGAAGGATAGGCAGGGGAAGGTTGCTACAGCCTCAGCCTCAGGAAATAGGGGCTTAGGTAGCAGGTGGCTAAACCTGCAACACGCCTGGTATTTTAAGGCGAGGTCTGTCTTTCAGACGGGTCGTGTAGAGAGGGAAGGCGCCATTTGAAAAGCCCAAATCCCAAGTGGAAAATGTTGATGGGGTGAGGCGGAGATGAGGCGCGCCTGCGGCTAACGTTGGGCGCCTCCAACCCCACCATTATAAAGCTGAGGAACCCAAACTGCAAACATCCGGTTCGTACACCTGCACTGTCACTCAGGCGATAGGAAAAACTGGAAGCCTCCTCCGGATTGGTCGATTTCTGCAAGCTCTCCAGTCAATCAGAGTAGACTGTACCGCAGTCCTTCCCATTCTCTGGCCCCAGGGAACCATGTTAGGTAGAAAGATGCAAACCTTGCCACTTTCCTGAGACCACAAACACAATAACATATCCTGCTTTCCTCTGCCGCTGCCATCTGCGCCTGACATGTTAATTCAATTAATAAAAATGCGCTTTTTTTCCCTCCACAAAACGAGTCGTTTCGTTAGTATAATGTGAAATCTGCGTCTAGGCGGTGACGCGCGAAGGAGGGGAAGAGGTGCCCCGTTCAGCCCTCAACCCTCTACACTAGCAAAGACTTACTGTTGACTCCGACTACCCAGGAGGCCCTCCTCCCGCGTCTCCCGCAGCGTGCGCGGATTTTGAGTGGCTTTTGGCCCCTCGCGGCCCCTGTAGCGTCCCTAGTTACCGGGCCCCTAGTAACCACCTCCCTAGCAAGTAGCTGTCGGGCGCCAGAGGCCGCGCCGGCATCCCCGTCCCGGGCCAGCGCTGGCGCTCAGGCCTCGGCGGCGCGATAATGGCCGCCTTGCACCGAGCGGCAAAGCTGTCGAACCTCCATCTCCCAATCCCGGTCAATCCCAACACCGGAGTGCGGGTCGCCCAGTACGAACGCAAAGACCCCTCAGAGTCCCTGTCGGCGGCGGCGGCGGCCTTGGAGGAGGAGGAAGAAGAAGAGGAAGAGGAAAAGAAGAAGGCGGCTCGGCCGGCGCGGGCGCCGGTAACGCAGGGGTGGGACGTGGGCTGAGGCTGGGTCTGGGAGCCGGCGGGGTGCAACTGGAGGCTGGTGGTGAGACGCCGGCTGGGAAACACGCGCCCTACCTGTTCAGACCTCCCCACATGGTGAGCCTGGCCCACCACTTTCTCTCTAACCGCCCCCACCTCACCGCCCCGGGAAATACTCAAAACTGAGGCGTTGAAAAGTCTTTTAATTTTCACCAATGAGATTGTTGTAAAATTTTCTTGGAGTGCATTTACGCTGCTCTATTTCTAGAGAGTGCAAAGTACAAAATTTTACTCCTTATGCTCCAACATCTGTTAGGAGTAGGGATTTTCTTTTTAACTTGAGGAAAACTGATCTATCCCATAGAGGATAACTCATAAAACGCAAGTAATCAGCTGTGCTGTCACGTGTATTTTGTTGTCACCTTGATGTCTTGGTTATTAGTGCATCTTAATACAATACACGAGAGGTGGTGTTTAAAACCATCAGCAGGTCAATGGATAGATCCAGCACAGTTGTAGTTAAGCGTCCAGAGAAGCAGATTACTGATGATCCAATGTTTCCAAAACGGTTCTTCAGGGTAGGGTGAGACAGCCTTCTCACTGATCAATTTTCAGTGTCAAATGTGTTTTGAACACCTGTCCACCAGGTAGAAGGCTGACTCTACCATCTGCTCCATTCACTTAAAAGTGGGAGTCGTAATTTTAACTAGCAGTCTGCAGATATAAACCTCCTTAACGCCAATTAAAGATTCTTAATTCCCTTTGTCCAAAGCTTTTCAGATTCAAAACATTGTGGTCTAGGGCTAATAGAAATCACTGGATACTTTGGAATTCTTATTTCTTTAATCTTCACTAACACTATTAATGAGAAATTCTATAGCAACACCTCTTATGGGTAGTATTTTACCAACAGAGGTTATCCATAGTAAGACAGATTGAGACCCTGAACATGAACGTAGGACCAAATTCATTCATGATAAAGCTTCCCCTCAACACAAATTTCAGTAGCCAACAGAGGAGGCAAAGTGATGGAGGAAAAAGACTTGAATGGAGAAAAAAGATTTGGAATCCTGGGTTAGGATCTATTCATTTGCTAGTTGATATGAAGATGTAACTTCCTGCAATCTCAGTTTCCTTATCTGTAAAAGAACTATAGTAACTATCTTTCTTGTCTCATTGGGCTAATATGAGAACCAAGTGAGAGAATGTGTGTCATAGCTAAAGAACAGTTTGTATCAATTAGTAATAATAATAACAGCTGCCCATGGGACTGTCATTTGAACAACTCTCCCAAAGAGTAGATTCTACTTTGGCTTGCTTGTTTGTTAGAGAAGTCCATTATTTCTGTAGTTACAGGTATACTTCCAAAGTGCCCTGTTAAACTGCAAATCTGTATTAGAAACATATTACCTTAAGAGAGATTAATTTATCTAATGATCTAGTTTCCAAGGGACAGGACCCCACCAAAAAAAAAGGTGGGGGGTAGTAGCTAAATTGAGCTTGACACTGTTCTCAGAGCACCACATGGATCCAAAAGGAAATCTGGATAAGCTACCACTGTAATAGGCCTGACAGAGGTCACGGGTTTACGGACAAAGCACTAAAAAGGCAGGAAAGAGAGCAGGAGCTAAGCTTTGCCTTCCTCACAGTTTGGCTTGTGTCTCCAACTTGATTTTTAAAGGTTAGTTTGTCTCAACTTTGTCATCTGTAAAATGGAGTAAACTCAGCTACCATAGCTGCACAAAACTGATTAGAGAACCAGCTGTCACAGTAGGCCCCTTTAAATCCTTTGGTTTGCCAACGCCAGCCACCCCACCCCCCACCTTCATCTCACCCCATGCAGAACTCTGGGCCCATACTGAGCACTAAAGCATGTTTCTGGAATCTAGCCTCAGTTGGAGACATCAGTTCATAGGCCTTGCTGTGTGGTTGGTGATGACATGGGTAAAGCAGTATTCTATAATTCACAGTTAAAATTTCCCTGACTTTCCTAATGGGATGGTCTTCTCGTTTTCAACAAATATTGAGCATTTATTAAGTGCCAGTCACGAACTATTCAGTAGTGAATGAAGAGGACATAGGTCGTGTCATCACAGTGCTTCCAGTCTGATGAGGAAGTTAGACAATAAAAAATGAACAAATGATTATAAGACAGGAAATACTGGGAAAGAAATGAACAGGTGACTATAATTAAAAAAATAGGAGGGAACCTACTTCAGTAAGTTAACATTTAAGCCAATGCCTGATAGATGAGAAAGAACAGCCATTTGATGAGTGGAGGTGGGAAAAGCATTCCAGGCAGAGGGAACAGCATATGCAGAGGCCCAGAGATAGAAAGAGACAGAGCTTTGTGTGATTAAGGATCTGAAACAAAGCCTTTCTTTTTTTCTGGAAAAAAGAAGGAAGGAAAGAAGGAAGGGAGAGAGGGAAGAAGGGAGAGGAGGGGAGGTTGGAGAGGTAAGCAGGGCCTGATCATTCAGGGCCTTGTAGACCAAGGTAAGGAATTTAGTGTTTATTATAGGTCCAGTGAGAGGTCCTTGAAGACTTTTAAGAGATCTGACCTGTTCCTACTTACATTTTTAAAGGATGATTCTGTTGGCTTTGTGAAGAATGATTGGAGGGTTTGATAAAGCAAGGACATTGGTTAGGAGGCTGTTGCAAAAAAATTCAAGTGCCAGAGGTGGTGGCTTGGACCTAGAGTCCAGGGGAGATGGCAGGAAATGGACAGATTGGATAGGACTTACTGTTAGGTTGCATGTGAAGGCCAAGGAAGAAGTCAAGAATATTCATCCCCAGGTTTCTAGTTTGACCAGCTGCATGGAAGATAATGCCATTTACTAAACTGGAGATAACTTGGGGAGGAATAGTTTTAAAGGCTGGGTGGGAATCAAGGTTTCCGTTTTGAACATGGTAAATTTGAGATGCCTGTGAAATACTGAGTTGGGCCTATGAAACTGTAGTCCTATGGGGCATGGGATGGAGATTTTTGTCTGGGAGTTTTCAGCATTTTTTAAACAATGGGAATGGGTGAAGTCACTTGGGGAAGTGCAGAAAGAAGGCACCTAGTATAGAACTCTTAAAACACTCAACATTTAACAGTCAGGTAGAGAAAAGGGGGCAAAAGAGATTAAGACCAGCTAGAGTGATAGAAAGATTATTGCAAGAGTGTGGAAATTTCCAATTTGTTGGTTTCAATGATGAGAGAAAGGGTCAAATACTGCTGAGAAAAGGGACATTTCATCCCTGAAGCAGGAGAGAAGGAGAAAAGGGGCAACAAAAGCGTACAGTTTTGTGGATGGGAAGATGAGGGAACTTCTGTTTTCTATTTTAGATGATGGCTTCTATTTTCCCCCAAAATAAGGAGTTACCATGGACAGCTGGGGGTGGGAGTGGGAACGGGCAGAAGAGCAAGGGAAAGAAAGGCAGTGTTGCTGGGGAGTGTGAGAGCCACCTTCCAGAAGGAACACGGGAGGTGCCAGGCAGACCAAGTATCCATTAGAAATTGTTCAGTTTTTAATTTAGTGTGAATATTCACAAAACATTCTTTGTCTTTTTAAGTTACATTTTAATTATGGAAGTAATACATGAACACATTCTCCTTTTAAAATTTCGAATGTTATAAATAAGGCTTAGGCCCTTTTAACACCTCTCCCCTGAAAAGAAAACCTGGCTGTCCTCTCCCTCCTCATTAGTAGCCTCATTAGTTTTGAAACTGATATATATCCTTCTGGGCTTTTTCCTGTCTCCTGTGTACATAACATTTTAATATATGGTAGCATTTTGTATGTACATATTGTTCTGCAGCTTGTTTTTTTCCCTCTTTTCATTTACATGTAGATCTGCCTCATTCCTTACAAATCCCTTTAATGCAAAAAAAATTTTTTTAATAATAATTCCAGAATGGTAGACAATGCTAGATAGACTGTAACACAGGTAATTCCAAGTGCTGGTTACTAACGAAGCAATGTGTGCTGGAGGGAGTCATCATCTAAATGGGTCAAGCCAATCTACGGAAGATTATCCTCTAATCTAGTGGCTGCCTGTACAATGTCCCACGAAAAGCTCAACAGTTGAAGGGAAAGGGTGCTATTTTAGGCTCTTGGAAAGTAATGTCCTTGGCCTAGGTTATTTGATCTACTTAATGTTTCCTTCTGTGTAGAGACAATTAAAGACAAAATTAAGAGTTGGAAGTCACCTATTAACCATTTATCTGTTTTAGGTAAAACACTGTGAGAACAGTTTATCTGTGTTACCAGTATTAGGCTGACATGCAGTGGATGCTGTGCAGAAGTCAGTGCATAAGGATAATTAGCAGACCTGCCACATCCCTTCCAAAGTTATGCATCCTCCTAAATGTTTTTCAAATGGTTTTTCCAGGTTCAGATAAATATCATCCTTTCTGTGAAAATGATTGTTATAAGACCTTCTTTTAAAGGGTGTTCTAAAAGAATGACGGGAGAGCATGTGGATGCTTTTGCCTAAAAACAGTTCTTTGGAATATCCACCCAGTTTCTTTTTAATTTATTTTGTGGGGTGGGGGGGATAGGTATACTTACTTATTTTTAGAGGAGGTGCTGGGGATTGAACCCAGGACCCTGTGCATGCTAAGCATGCACTCTGCCACTTGAGCTATACCCTCCCCCTACCTAGTTTTAATGAGAGTTTTTGGAAAATAAGCCCTTTCCTTAATACTCAGTAGAACATAGCTCTTTAGAGCAGCCAGTATCTCTTTGACTGATTCAGTCCTTTGTGAGGGAATACCTGTCCTCTTCCCTTGGGAGGAACTTAGTATTTTTTAGCTGGACATACACTCATCCAGCAAATATTTATTGAGCACCTGCCGTTGGCTGGGTATTTCTCTAGGCACTGGGGACACAAGTGTGAACAAAGCAAACAAATGCCTGCTTTTGTGATGCTTTTTTGGTAGGGGCAGGCAGACAATACACAAATAAGAAGGCTATGTAGGATGTTAGTTGGTGGTGAGTATTTATGAGAAAAAGCAGAAAAGGGACGCTGACAGTGAGTCAGGGGAAAGGTGGTAATTTCAAATAGTAGTCAGTGAAGCCGCTGTTGAGAAGATGACATTTGAGTAAAGACCTGAAGGAGTGAGCAAGTGGGCTGTGCCAGTAACTGGAGGAAGAGCATCCCAGAGAGAGGGAACAGTAAAGGCCCCGAGGTGATTTTGCTGATTCTGTGAGTGTTGAAAAAACTGCAAACTGGAATCAGCCACTGCTGCTAGAAGGAACTGCTGCTGGGGTGGCACAGGCAGACAAATGGACAGAGAACTAATCTGAAGGAATAAGTCCCTTCTTCCTCCTACAGACTTGCAGTCTCCCTCTAGCCCCACTTTTGGAAGAGTCTAGCGGGGACTGGCCAAGCAGAAGCATGGTTTGCAGAGTTCAATCCCCAGCATCATGTAGCAGGGTATAGAAGAACAGCACTGGAGCTGAGAGATAACAGTTGAACACCCGGCACATATACTTCATGTATCGTAGAGCTGATGTTCAAAAGGTTAGGGCCTATGTTACATGGGCAGAACCTAGGCTTGAATGAGAATTCTGATGCCATATCTGTAATCTTTTCCTCAAGCCATGAAAACACTCCACACTGAAAAGTTAACTTCCATCAAAGTGTTGTAATGAGGCTGAAACCAGGTGACCAGTGAGTAGTCGGGAGCCAGCAGTAGACAAGAAACAGAAACTACCTCCTGCTTGCCCTTGTTGCCAAAACTTGGCCTCTGGACCCCATTTACCGAATTAAGACTCAAGGACAGAGTTTTGATGAAGTGGAAAAGGTAGCTTTATTTCTTTGCAGGGCAGAGGAGATCATGATGGGCTGATGCCTCCAAGACTGATCCTGCCAGGGAGAGACGGTAGGGGGTTTTATAGTAAGAGTTCAGGGGGTGACACTGGTTTCCATAGAGATCACATACAGGGTAACAACTTGTGGCAAAGTTGTTCTTGTTTTCATAGATGCAGTAGTCCCCTTTCTTCTATTGGGTCTGATGTTCACCTCTGGCTTTGAAACTCTTCTAATATTCTTGTGTCTAGAACAAAGGTGCTTAGGAAAGGGATCTGTAGAAAAGTGCTCTAGAGAAAAACTTGTGCTGTGTAAAGTCAGGTTGATATATACTTCTGGCATTTTAGGCAGGCTGAGGCCTGAGCCTCAGTGTTTGCACAGGCTGGGACAACAGAATACAAAGAAACCATGAGGGGCTAAATGTAACTGCAGACAGTTATGAACAACAAGATGTACAAAACACCCAACTGCTGTCTCTGAGGTTTTGGGAGGAAGACAAGGGGGTTGGGCAGATCACCCAATCTGCCCAGTCCTGGTCAGCAAAAGCATGAGAAAAACCCTTTAAATTATTATAGTTAGTTAAGCAGTTACAAATACCATAAGGCCACCAATGACAATAGGATCCTACTTGGTTACACTCTAACGTCCCTTTCCAGGTTAGCTTCCCAAAATTGCTTTATGCATTTTTACTTTCTTTTCATCCTGCAGCTGTGTGCACCTTGCTTTCTACCATGACCCCCACCCTGGACGCTTTCGCTAATGTAAGTTCCTTTGTCTGGAGTACGTTTCCCTCTTTCCCCCTCCACTTTCTCTGATCCTCCAGATTCTTCATTTCATTGACTCAGCTCAAATATCACCACCTCTAGGAAGCCTACCTTTATCTTCCAAACTCAAACCAAACCAGAGCTCCCTTCACACAGTGAGGTCGAACAAACTGAAACATTGTAGTTTGGAGCAGAAAAACATTTATTGTAGGATTAAGCAAGGGAGAACAGGCAGTTCATGCTCAAAAACCTGAACTCCCCTGATGGTTTTCAGGGAGAGTTTTTATAAGCAGAATTTGGAGGGAGGGCTGCAGGTGTGTGACCTTCCTCTGATTGGCTGCTGGGAGGTAACAGGGTGGTATTCCAGGAATCTCAATCATCAGCCTTCTGGTTCCAGCCAGTCTGGGGTTTCCATGTGCTTATGCCCAGCCTGAAGTTACCATCCTCCACCTGGATGGGGGCCTTAGTTCCTGTAGAAGAACTCAGAGATGGTATCAGACTGTTATGTATGTTTCTTGAGGAGGAACCAGGACCCTGCCCCATCACTGTTGCTAAAGTTTCTTGTCTGCCTTTCCTTTGTTTCTGCATTCCCTCACTCTAATTGGTAACTGTTTGAATCTGCCCTTTGGAACCAGAACACTGAAAGGCTTTTGTACCCAGGAGGGCCCCACAGGGTTCTGCTTGGTTTCAACTTGGCCTTTGCATCTCTCATGACCACTTTCTATTTCCCCTTTAGTCCTCCTGTCACTGCTTATTTCGATGTTGGTGTTTGCCAGCATTTCCATCCTTAGGTTCTTGCTCTCATTGCCCCCACACTCCCCCAGGCAGCCATATGCACACAAGGCTGCACTTGCACTTCTTCGTGCATTGCTAGCTCCTGTACCTCTGTCTCCAGCCCAGCCTTCTCACTAGGTCTTCAGATACATTTACCCACATGTTTCCTGGACATCTGGCTGCCCCGCTATCCCCTCACACTCAGTGTGTCTAGGACAGAGATTAGTTTCCTTTTCCTAAACACTCTTCTCCCCTGTATTCCCTGTATTTTTGAAAGGCAGCACCACCGTCTACCTAGACAGACAGCACTCCAAGCAGAAATCTTTTCATTTTCTTGCCCCCCGTCCAGGCCATTATTGAGTTGATGATTCAACCTCTTAAATCTCCCAAGACAGCCTCCTTTCTTGTGTTCCTGGTACTGTTCCCTTAATTCTACCCTTAATACCTCTGACTCAGACTTTGCAGTAGCCCATTAACTGCTGCCAACCCTGTGTTCCCTCACTCCACCCCATTTGCTACCAGAGAGTCCTGAGTGTTGCTGACCATGTCACTGCTCTGCTAACATCCTTGAAGGCTTCTTTTGCCTGTGGCCTGGCCCCCTGGGCTCTTGGTTGGGGCTCCTGACTTGCCTTTTTCACCCTGTTCCCCAGCCACCCTCAGACTGTTAACCTCCCTCTGAGCACACCATGCCTGTTTCCTCCTCTTGTGGCTAAAAAACCTTTCCTGTCCTTGGAAGGAGTATGGTGTGTCTTTGGGGCCTAGCAGACTTGGGATTGAATCCCAGCTCTGCTACTTACTGGCTATATGACCGTAGGCAGGTCGCCTAACTCCTCTGAGCCTCAGTTTCCTCATTGAAGACAGAATACCTGCCAGTTGCACCATCATAAGGTAACACGATGAATGTTCTAGCACCATGCCTCAGTTTCTTTGTTTTTCAGTGCTTCTTTTCTCTAGCAAACTCTGTCCTTGTTCATCCTTATGTTTCCAGTCTGGCTCACCTCTGTGGATTCTGCTGCTTCTCTCCCCGGGTGAGAATTAGGTATCCCTTCTGTGAGCTCTCCTGGTGTCTGATAGTGATACATGGTCACTCATCTGTCTCCCTGCTCAGCGGGGCCCAGCTCGTGGGTAAGAATGAGGGGTTCTGTCTTGTTCAATTTGCTATCAATTATTTATCTACGCGTCCTCTCCTAAACTAGCTGGAAACTTCTTGAAGATGGGGTTTTTATCTGATTTGTACCATTCAGCAGCTAGCTGAATGCTGGGTGTCCCTAAATATTGAATGAATGAGGAAATTAGCAAAGTACTCATTCTCATAGCTAAGAAGATAATGGTGAAGAGCACGTACAGAAACAGCAGAAAATTCTCTTCACTGAGTTGTACGACATAAAGCAGTTCTTCAATTTATTTGGTAATAAATTTCTGCACACTGGTTCTACTGAAGGAAGCTTGTTTTCTTTCATTTGTTTTCTCTAAGTTATCTCAAGTGGTCAACACTGGCCTTTTGTATACTGTTTTAGCCCATTGAAAAATTATATTTATAAATATTGTATATAACTGACTTTGGAATTTTCCTGTTGGGAGACACTACTCAGATTTATTTTCTAGAGTCTTACCAGATTGGATCTGTAATTTTCTATGGCAAAGATGCATTTTTCATTTTGAATCTATTTCAGGCAGTAAGCTAAATTTAAAACCATGGTCAGCAGCCTTTTTTGTATAGTATCATAAGTAATTTCACTTGTCTCTCACCTGGGAAAATATTAAAATATTTATATTTGTAGAGAGTATGGGGTTTTATCTCTTTAGTTGCTGCAGTTAAAAGAATTTTGAAAAGTATGTGAAGGGAGTGAGGGAAAAAGATCGGGCATCCCCTTCCAGGCGTGTATACAGAACAGCTATACTATATGTTCTTGTCTTGTCACCCCACAATCCCTGTCACCCTTGGGAGCAGCTGTTCTGAAAATCTCTCCCATGGCCTCCTACTCCCTCCTGAGGCCTCGCCCCCACCCCACCCCCGACATCCAGGAGGGCTTCTCCCTGGCCCTTTGATGAGCCACTAAGAACTTGGTTCCCTCCCTTCTCCTGGCACACCCCTGGGGCCCAGGCTGCAGGAGCCCTGCTGGGGGAGAGTACTGGGCTATGCTTGCTTGGTTTGCAGCAGGAGGAACTGTGTTCTTCACCTCAAGTAACTGACTACTTAGAAGGAGGCTCTTTAAACGAGTGGTTTGGGTTTATCCTATTAAGTGTATAGGTTAGTACATGATCTGGGAATCTCACCATTCTTTATGAAATGGATAAAATAGCATTTATTCTCTGGCGGCTTGGTCTCTCTCGTTTCATTAGGAGAAAATGTACATAGCCCACAAGTAATTTATAATCCATAATATGTTCATAGTCCACAAGTAACATATAACCTAATTAAGTGGACTTTTTAAAAAGCAGCATTGGGAATCAGCGTCAACTTAATTTGTCTTTCAATCCAGACACCATAACAGGTGGTTTTCCTCCTACCAGGCTGATTTTAACACCAACGTTCCTGGGGTGGACGAACAAAAATGTATATCCCATGAGGATTTTGTGGACTTTTCTGATATTTATCACTCTAATGAAGAGTATTTCAAGAAACTAGAAGAACTCAAGGCTGCTTACTTGGAAACTATGGCAAAGTTAGAGAAAATGTACCAGAATAAACTACATTTAAAGGAAGTTCAGCCAGCAATCATCAGGGAAGAAGCTTCTAGTGTCTCTTCTGGGTAAGTTCATAATGTTATTTGTGGACCATAAAATAAAATGTATACTTAACAGCACAGAACAAAATTTTTCAGAATATTTTCTCTCAAATGTCCCTTTGTGCTTTTAATGGTACACAGAGGTGAGATTTTATTAAAATTCTTTGATGGCTTATCAACCTACTAAGTGGCTTCTTGCTTTGAGGGTCATTTGGTGGCCATTTGCTCTTTTCTCTCTGGCCCACCACTCTTAGACAGGTGTCAAATATTTAGTCTGGGGCCATTTTCAACTGATGAATATTAAAATTTAAAAGCCCTTTATAATATGTGGATTAACATGAACTCATTAACATTAACTCATAGTACAAAGAGTTCAGGACGAAGACATAAATCTGATTTAAGTTTTCAAATAGTCACTTTTGCCATAAATTTACTGCTTTTGAAACTTGAGGCAAGTCCCTTAACTTGTCCTGTTGGTCAGTGCTGATTGTGCGTCTCCTGTGTCCCAGACCTTGCCTGGGCACTGAGGAGTCAAAATCAAGATGCTCTCAAGGAGGTCAAAGACTAGCTGAGATCCAAAAACACAGCACGGCGGAACAGAGTGTTTGGAGAGGGAGGAAGAAGCAGTTGACAATGTCCAGGTGTCACTGGAGGGATGCAGGCATGAGTTTGCTACTGAAGTGTCATATCCGAGTTCAGTCTTAAAGAGGAAGTAGCTGAAGCAGGTGTAGGAAGCAAGGAGTGGCCTTCTCAGCAGCAGAAACCACGTGTGCAAAGGCACGATGCTGTGAGAAATCACGGTGTGTGGGAAGAACTTTGTGTGAGTGCATCTGACTTAAGAGTGGTGACTGGGGCAGGGAGAGGCAGGAGGTGAAACTGGAAAGGTAGGAAGGGCTTTATAATCTAGATTCAACTTTGTAACAATACAAATCATGGAAAAGTTTAGAGGAGAGGAGTGATGTGATCAGATGTGTGTCTTAAGATGGTGACTCTGGGAAATGTGTGGAAAATTCAGTAGCGGTTAGACACAAGGAGCCTTTGCTGTTCTCAGGTTCCTGCCCAGCAGAATGAGGGATTTGAATTAGATCATTTATAGGCATCTCCCAGGCTCTGTTCTAAAAAAAAGTGATCCTTTTTCACAAGCCCTATCCAGCACCTGTCTTCTAACTGATTTTACTTTGATCCTAGAAATTATAGAATTCTTAATTTTTATATTTGGTCACATACAACTAGAAGAGTAACCAAATTATTTTTCTCACTTAGGTCCGTATCAGAAAGGAACTCCTATTGCCCTGTCTCGTTAATGACATCAATTTCAGAGCCTGATTTAGGTCAGTCTTCCTCCTTGATTGTGTCTTCCTCTGAAGATGAGTTGCCCTGCTTAGAGAAAGAGTATCCGGAGAAAAGCAGAATGATGACCTACGCTAAGGAGCTCATCAACAACATGTGGACAAACTTCTCTGTTGAAGATTATATTCGATATGAAGATGCTGACTTGCCAGTGTGTGAAAAAACAAAGAAGAAACCAAAAGAATGGGTGCCAAGGCTTACAGTGCCTGAGCCTTTTCAAATGATGATTAGAGAGCAGAAGAAAAAAGAAGAGAACATGAAATCTAAATCAGAGGCTGAAATGGTACGCAAACTGCTCAAAAAACAAGAAGAAGAATCAGAATGTAAGAAAAAATTCCGAGCCAATCCAGTTCCCGCGTTTGTTTTCTTCCCCCTTTATCACGATATAGTCAAGCAAAATGAAGAACGGAGGAGGTCTATGAAGGAGAAAAACAAAGAAGCTCTTCTGGCCTCGCAAAAGCCATTTAAGTTCATTGCAAGGGAGGAACAGAAGCAAGCAATTCGGAAAAAGCAGCTGAAAGACTTTTTTAAGTCTGAAAAGAAAACAAATCGATTTAAAGCTAGACCTATACCTCGATCTACTTATGGTTCAACTATCACGGACAGGTTAGCGGAAGAAGAGCTCTATAGAAACATTAGGACTCAGCAAAGAGCCCAAGAGCTTTTACAGAATTCATCCCCTCTGCCTTATAGACCAGCTCGTAGAAGTCTTGCTTCAAGGAAGCCCAAGTGTCCTGAACAGGCTGAAAAGTCAAAGTATAAACACAAGTTTAAGGGCCAGACTGTTGATTCTGAAAACCTTCCTGAAAGATATCAGAAACACCACTCAGAACAGAAGTGTCCAAAGCTCCTAACAGTCTGTGAACCATCTGACCTTCACACCACCTCACATGCATCCACTGAAAGAGAGAAAATTTTGGCAGACATTGAAGCAGATGAAGAAAATTTGAAAGAAACACATTGGCCTTACCTGTCTCCAAGGCGCAAGTCACCAGTAGAAAGTGCAGGTGCGAAGCCTGCACCTTATAGCTGCAACCCTCCGATGCCCACCCTGTCCTCCAGAGGAAGAGAGCTAGCCACAAGGTAGATAACCGATAGAGCACTGGCCGCCTCATGGTTGCTCTGTTGATTCTGTGTTGGGGAATTTGCAAGTACGAAGTTATTATAGCTGGTAACATATTTTACTGTATAATATAGGACTTTTTGCCAGAAGGTGTTCTTCTAAGAAGTGAATGTATTTTCCATTTTATGAATCTTTGGGGATAGAAAAGCTTACAGTCAGCCTATTGATTCCTAATTTCACAAGTCAGATCCTTTTCAAAAGGTTGCCCCTTTTTTTCAACCTTTGAAATATCCTGTGTTAAATCTTTGCTAAAAAGCATTTTCATTGGCTTAAAGTGAATTAAGCCTTAGTTTGTTGCCCTCAGGAGATCACTTGAGGAAAAGAAAATGTTGGAAGAAGAGAGAAATCGGATCCTAACTAAGCAGAAGCAAAGAATGAAAGAATTGCAGAAACTCCTGACGACTCGGGCTAAGGCTTATGACTCACATCAGAGTTTAGCTCAGATGTCTAAATCCAGAGTGAAATCTCTCAGGTATCAGGAGAGAATCCTGACCCTGCAGATCATTGATTTTCAAACTTTTTTTTTAATCAGTGGACCCCAATTTATGAACAGATTAAGAATAGTATTAGTATTTCAGTTTATGAATTCAAGTTACTATCAGTTACTTATAATTAACATACTCACACACACACACATTCACTGACTTCATGTGAGAACCAGCATGTATTCTCACCTCGTGGTGAGGACCATGATACCATGTTGATGAGAAGAAACATTTCTGATTGCGGCCATAGTTAATATTTATGATCTTATATCATCATCTAATCTTGTCCTTTATATTATTTTTTATTGCACAGTACAATATTGAGAAAAATCTTGATTCAGATAAAGCTCTTTTTTAACAGCTTGCCATATATCTCAGAACATTCTTCCATAAATAGATATGTCAGAGAGCTTTGTTCTAAAGTCTGCATGAAATCTGATAGCACAGATTAACACATTGATGTTAATTAACATCAGTTATGTGATGTGTCAGTTAGCACATGTGTTAATATTTAGTGGTATGTGTTACACAGTGGAATTCTGCAGTACAAAGTTTGAAAATCAGTGTTCCAGAGGGACATTTTTATGTTGCAAAAAATGTTCATGTTTATTTAAGTAGTAAAATAGCTCCCCCCAATCTGGGTAAGTAATATGATTTATTAATTTTTAATCTGACTTATAAATACTCCCAAAATCTGTATTTGCTTTAAATTATGAGTATTCCTCTAAAAATGTATATTATGTATCGTAATTATTATATTCCTTTATAATGTATATTATGTATATATTCCTTATAACGTATATCAGTGTAATTCACTGATAGAGCTTGATTTGATGAACTTGAGCAAAAAAATCCTTAGAAATACACTCTTCATCCTTAGAAAGTAAGCTGGATAATAATAATAATGCTAAATTGTAATTAACCATAATTATCATTTTATAGTAGTATTATTTTTTCTAATCCATGAAATCTTTTGCTCTTGGTAGAGTTAGTATGATTTACTTAGAGAAAATAGCATAAATTTTTCGTTGAAGTATAACTGATTTACAATGTTGTGTTAATCTCTGGTGTACAGCATAGTGATTCAGTTACATTTATATGCATATATATGTATTCTTTTTCATGTTCTTTTCCATTATGGTTTATTACATGATGAGAAAATAGCATAATTTAATTCATTATAGGACCTTGTTCAAAGTAAGTATATTTCCTGTGAATTTATATATTTTGGTTCTTGTTCCTCTGTGTGTTGTATTCCCATACTCCCCATTTCTCCCCTGACCTGCTCCATTAACTTTGCTACCAAGCTCTAGGAGGTCTCACTTAGGGGAAAAAAGAAGAGCAAAGTCTTGTTTTCAGAAGAAATTCCTTAAAGAGAAGATACTTGATTTGGACCAAATTTTCTTGGTTTTACATACTTATAAATGAGATAAGAGGGCATTCATCGATCTCTTCTGGCCGGTTTGAAGCCCTTAGTAAGTTACATTTTGAAGATTTCAGAAACCTCAAAGTTTCCTTTGAGAAATTGTTCCTGGGATGTAAAACATGTGGTCTCAGAACCTTAGGATTTTTTTCTGCATTCCATAAGAATTTACCAGTCTAGAAAATATATTCTGGTAAACTGTAAACTCTGCTCATAATTTCATTTCTGGTTTGTCATCTAAGCTAAATGTTGTGTTGCAAGTTCTTATTTCTTTTTAAAATTCCATTCCCTTTATTTGATTTTAGAAAGAGTGAAAAGGAAAGGATGAGAAAATACCGACAAGAACTAGAAGAAAGAGAAGAAAAATTAAAAAGCAGGCCGCTGCTATTTGAAAGAGTTGCTCAGGTTGTGTTTGTTGGCATTTAAGAGCTATTGTCAGCTTTTTTTTTTTAACATCTCCAGCTGCAAATTATTATAGTCCATTTTTCTTATGTGTTATCTAATTTATTTCTGTGACAGCTTCATCTTATCAGTCAAGTAAGTAATTTAGCTTAAATCTGAGCATTAAATCTTGTTGATGAGGCTCATAAGCTTGAGAAAGAGCAGGTTGCTCATCCAATCGTTTTCAAAATACTAATTTCACAGCCTGTTTTTAATGGCTAGTCTCTCTTCAGTACCAACTTGGCCAGGTATTAAGGTGAGGCTTCATGATATAAGTTGGAAGTCTTTGAAGAATTAAAAAATGAAACAAAATGGCTAATTGAATCAGATTTATTTCTGCCATTTTTTTTTCAGTTTTATTGAGATAAAATTTACATATAGCAGGTATAAGTTTAAGGTGTACAACATGACTTGGCATACATATATTGCGAAAGGATTACCACAGTAAGTTTAGGTAACATCCATCATCTCATATAGTTAACAAAAAATTTTTTCCTCGTGATGAGACTTTTCAGGATTTACTCTCTTAGCAACTTTCAAATAGACCACACAGCAGTGTTAACTATCATCATCTTATCGTACAATATACCCCCAGTACTTATTTATGTTACAACTGGAAGTTTGTACCTTTTGACTCATTCATCCAATTCTTCTAGGAAATACAAATTTGATCTCTTTTTCTATGAGTTCTGTGTGTGTGTGTTTTGTTTGTGTGTGTGTGTGTGATTATTTTTTAGAGTCCACATATAAATGAGAACATGTAGTATTTGTCTTTCTCTTTCTTTTTTCATTTAGCATAATGCCTTCAAGGTCCCTCTGTGTTGTCACAAATAGCAGAGTTTCCTTCTATTTTATGGCTGAATAGTATTCCATTGTGTATGTATACACCGTATTTTCTTTATCCATTCATCTTTCAGTGGACATTTAAGTTGTTTCTATGTCTTGACTTATAAATAATGCTGCAGTGAATTGACATACTGATTTTATTTCCTTCAGATAAATAGCCAGAAGTGGAATTGCTGGATCATGTACTAGGTCTATTTTAATTTGGGGGGGGGCAACCTACATACTATTTTCCATAATGGCTATACTAGTTTACATACCCAGCAACAGTTCACAGGGGTTCCCTCTTCTCTACATCCTCACCAGCATTTATCTCTTGTCTTTTGGATAATAGGCATGTTAACAGGTGTGAGATGATATCTTATTGTGGTTTTGATTTGTATTTCCATAATGGTTAGTGATGTTGAGTACCTTTTCATATGCCTGTTGACCATCTGAATATCTTCTTTGGAAAAATGTCTATTCAGATCTTTTGCCCATTTTTTTTAAATTGCGGTATAGTCAGTTTACAATGTTGTGTCAATATCTGGTGTACAGCACAATTCTTCAATCATATATGAATATACATATATTCACTTTCATATTCTTTTTCACTATGAGCTACTATAAGATACTGAATATATTTCCCTGTGCTACATAGTATAAACTTGTTTATCTATTTTATATATACCAGTCGGTATCTGCAAATCTCAAACTCCCAGTTTATACCTTCCCATCCGCCTCCTGCTGGCAACCACAAGTGTGTATTCTATGTCTCTGAGTCTGTTTCTGTTTTATATGTAAGTTCATTTGTCTCTTTTTTTTTAAGTTTCCACATATAAGTGATATCATATGGTATTTTTCTTTCTCTTTCTGGCTCAGTTAGAATGACATTCTCCAGGGGCATCCATGTAACTGCAAATGGCATTATTTTATCATTTTTATGTCTGAGTAGTATTCCATTGTATAAATATACCACGTCTTCTTTATCCAGTCATCTGTGGATGGACATTTAGGTTGTTTCCATGTCTTGGCTATTGTAAATAGTGCTGTTATGAACATTGGGGTACAGATGTCTTTTTGAATTAGGGGTCCCTCTGGATATATGCCCAGGAGTGGGATTGCTGGGCCGTATGGTATGATCCTTTGCCCATTTTTAAATTGGATTATTTGCATTTTTGCTAATGACTTGTATGAGTTCTTTATATGTACTGCATATTAACCCCTTATCAGATATATGATTTGCTAATATTTGTTCCCATTTAGTAGGTTGCCTTTTCACTTTGTTGATCAGTTTTTTTTAAGTGAGCCTGTAATTTTTTGTTTTATCTACAATTACTAGAAGAACTTCCTTTTTATTGGAAAAATAATTTGGTCCTACAGACAGTGAATCCTGATTTTACTACATTTATACTCAGTGTTACAGTCTTTCCCTTTAGAGAGATTTGTCAATTTCAGATGATCTTCTCCTTTGTACCCATAAGGGAGGCGTTCCAAAGGACTTAACAACAGACAAAATCACTGGAGGTTACAGGTGCTGTGTTGTGAATTTCAAGCTGTTATATTTGGAGCTTCCTGCCAGCAAGTGCCTAGGACAGATGAGTGTCCTTATAGGACTGCCCTTGTCAATGACTCACTGAGGATGAGGAGCATGTCTTGTGGGTAAATCTACATTTACAATCTCTCAAAACTATGGGAACATTTAACTTACTGATTTGAATATAATTTTATGTAATGCTTTTCATTTTAAGGAATGAGTTTCCTTTTTTTGACATCTCAGTTTCAATTTTAGGGGGAAAAATTATAAGCTGCTCCACATTACTCAGCATAAAGTGATTGACTTTTGGCTCAAAGTAGTTATCTCCAGCTCCCAACTGTAGGTTTTATACACACTTGTCTGGATATATCTACCCAGATTTCCCAAGGCATCTTACATTCATCTTGCCCCTAGCTAGATCTTCCTCTGAGTTCCTGTTTTTGTTGGGCCACAGTTTAAATGACTGGGAACCACTTTTTCTCTCTGTTCAGTTGTCACTGAGAGTCCTGACAAGTTCTCTTTCTAAATTTTGGGATCTACCTTTCTCCATTCAGGCGAAATGCTAGGTGAAACCTCTGTTACTTTCTGCCTGAGTTATTAGAATGGTTTGACTCATGTTCCTACCTTGCTCTTTGCATAGCCACCCATTGTATTTCCCATTCCCTTGCTACAGTGTTCTCTCTGAGCAGGTAGTTAATAACCCCCAGTAACAGTGGCAGTCATTTTCATTGATGCCGTTTGTTCTCATTTTCAATGAATGGTATCAAGGGGTCTTGTTGACTTCTCCAAACAGTACTACAAGGTGGGTATTCCTATACTGCAGGGGAAGAAACAGAAGTTGAAAGAAGATAAGTAACTCATAAGGTTTATAGTTAAGAATGGAACTAGGATTGGAACCCAAGTCAGTCAGCTTCCAAACAATTAACACTAAGCCGTCCTGCTTTCTTCCTGAAGATAAATCCACAAGTCTTAGCCTGGTGTACAGAATCCTCTGTGATCTGATCCCTGTTGACCTCTTGAGTTCATCGACCACTGCACTCCCCCCAACCCCTACTGTGTACACCCTTTACTTTCAGGCCATACCAGACTACTCACTTTAAACTTGAAATCTTTATTCATGCTGTTTCTCTGTATCCTTAGAGCCTCTTCCTATCTTTCCTCCTACTCTTTCAAAGCTTAGTGTCGAATCACTCCGTGCATTGTTTCCCCAGGTTGGGTTGGGTGCCCTTTACTCTGTTCTTTTATTACCCTTTGTGCACTTCCTGTCTTTGCTTCTCCCACATTGTTTGGAAATTATCTGTGTAATGCTCTCTCTTCCCTTCCAGCTAGTTATTTTTAAAGGTGTTGGTCAAGTCTTTGTATTCCTAGCACCTAAGACAAGTATCACACAGAGGAGATGTTAACAAACATTTGTTGAACCCAGCTGAATTGTTTCTGGTTTTAGCCCAGGCTGAGAGCACTACCCTGACATACTAGCAATGAATCTCAGTGTTAACAAGCAGTTTTGCCATGCTGTTAATTCCCACTCTTTCTAAGCACCAGAGAAATGTGGCAAAATAAGTGGTGTGAAATTAAACCCATAAAGAAACTTTTAACATTGAAAACATAGGTTAGTTTCACAGCTGATATTTCCTCTACCACTCTTGGCCCACACATACGCTGGTCCCTTTGCCCAAAACACTCTTCTCTCCCCATACGCTGTCTACCTCCCATGAGGGCTTGTCACAAAATAAGTATTCAGTAATTATTAAATAAAGGAAGGAATTACTATAAACTAAACTTGGGCTTATAAAAATTAAGTCCTTTTTTACCTTCAAACTAGAGCATTGAGGGTAGACAAATTTTCCTCAGTACTTGTTATTTTGGTTTCTTGAAGAAACAAAGCTATTTTTTTTTCTGCAGAGTCTTTGATAGAAAAGTAAAATAACCATAATCATTTTAAATGTTTCTTTTATTTCATGGTCTTTACAATTCTTTTGCATGGTGAAATTCAAGGGGAAATGTTTGTTTCAGTTAGGAACAATTATACACTATTCATCTCGATATAAAATATTAAAAGGTAATAACTTCTATATACAAGATGGCTGTCAGTGACTCACCATTGTTTTGGTTTTGTTAAAATAAATTAGTACATTTTTTATTACAGTCTATTTTGCTGTGATTATTGCTGCTAATTAACAGCTGTTATTTAATAAATTCACTCAGAACTTTATGCGTTACCTATTTATAAGTGTTAATTGGGCCTTGCTGCTGTTGCGTTATCCCGAAATGTTACGGAAATGACAGGCCAGCCAAGAAACAAGCACCACTCGGAGGGTTGGAGTACTCAGATTTATTACGCCAGCGGGCTCAGAGGGGCTTCTGCTCCGAAGCTCTGAGCACCTCCAAGACGTGTGCATGAGGTTTTATAGGGTTAACTACAAGCTTGGGGTATTTGGCCAATAGGCATGGAACAGCTTTAGCAACATCATTATCACAAAAGTAGAGGCAGGGAGGCAGGAAACCAACATTTCAAGGCCAGATATGTCTCTTTGAAAATCCAGCTGGCTAGCAAAAAAAACATGAACAGGGAATCAGCAAACCAACAATAATTAACTCAGATTTACAAGTTAGCCCAGCAGAACTCAGATCAGTAATCCGACACTTGTTACACTTAGATTTGTGAGTTAGCTTGTTAGCCCAGCTGGGCTTTTCCTTCACACTAGCAGAGTAAGCCTGTGCTCCATGACAGAAAAAAACATATTTTCCAGTTCCTTGAAAGTCACAGGATTTATTAACTGAATGGATGTTAAATCGAATTTTAAACCAAATTCAGATGAAGGCTTACAAGCACTCACTCTGTTTTTTTTTTAATCCATTGGCTATTGTATTTTTTTTAATTGAAGCATAGTCAATTTACAATGTTGTGTCAGTTTCTGCTGTACAACATAACGTTTCAGTCATATACACACATATATTCATTTTCAAATTCTTTTTCATTATAGGTTACTATAAGATATTGAATTTAGTTCCCTATGCTATACAGTATAAACTTGTTGTTTATCTATTATACTATTATAGTAGTTAATATCTATAAATCTCAAACTCCCAAGTTATCCCTTCCCACCCCATTTCCCCCCTTGTAACCATAAGTTTGTTTTCTATGTCTGTGAGTCCATTTCTGTTTTGTAAATAAGTTCATTTGTATCTTTTTTTTTTTGATTCCACATATAAGTGATATCATATGGTATTTTTCTTCCTCTTTCTGGCTCACTTCACTCAGTATGACAATCTCCAGATCCATCCATGTTGCTGCAAATAGCGTTATTTTATTCTTTTTTATGGCTGAGTGGTATTCCATTCGTATAAATATACCACAACTTCTTTATCCAATCATCTGTCAGTGGACATTTAGGTTGCTTCTATGTCTTGGCTATTGTAAATAGTAAGCACTTATTTTGATCAGTATCATTTAAATCTCTTTTATATTTCATTTGCTTAAGTCAAAATTGACTGTTCTTAACACATTCAGAGTTAGGTTTGGGGTTTCTTTATTCTGCTTTACGGGCTTTGGGGCACAGTTCTCATCTTACTTTGCTTTACCTCTCGGCTCCCCAAGGCTTGTCTGTTGGTGTTCATAGCCTCTGGATGCATTTTTATTTACTTTTCTAAAATTGTTATTTACAGTGGGTGCACTTTACCAGCAGCTTGAGTGCTTCTTTTTTAGCTTTCCAGAGTGTCAGGAAATGCACTGGTGATAATTTTATCCATTGTAATAAGTCTTTGCTATTTTGATTTCTCCCATGGGATACTAGACTCCATGGTCCCTCCTTATGCTGGAATCCGTGGGTTAGGAAGATATCTGACACAGCCTTGCTGAAGTCAGGCTTTTGGCTACCTGCAAGCCCCAGGACGCCCACTACCACTTAGAGAAGGCAGCATGGTGGAGTGGAAAGACCCAGGAAAGGGTCAAGAGACTTGGTTTTACCTCTCACTATATCCTTGTGACCTTAAGCAAACCACTTAACCTCAACAAGAATGGAGAGAGTGTCTTAGTGTCCTTAAGTTGTTAAATTTAGAGGTGAGACTGAGTGCTCTTCCGTACCCCTTCCGGTATGGGTTGCCATTGGTGCACTGAGACTGAGTCATTCCTTGTCACTTTGCTTTAGTTGAAGGTCCAAGTAGCAATTTTTGGCCCTATGCTAGTTCATATTCACTCATGGGAACTAAAATTGGACTAATGCTGAGGCACTAGTGTGAACCCCAGTCATCTGTGTGTTTGTAAAGCCTGTGGTCTAAGGAACTGTGACAACTGACTTGCTTTTGTTATGACAGGGTTATCACAGGTCCCAGAGTCAGGAAGTGACATTCTGGAGATTTGAACCCAGTTCTGAATTCATGGGGGTTTTGTTTTTGTTTTTGTTTTTGTTTTTGTTTTTTTGGTTCTTCCAGAGTAAAGGTAGCAACATTGATCACCTTATCACCTTTGATGGATTGTAGATGTGGTTTGTAAAGAGTAAAATTTACAGTAAGCACATAAAGTACCTCTGACAACTGTCACATGAAATTATTTTCTTACTGATTTTTTTTCAGATATCCTTCAACAATCACAACAGTACAGTGTAAAGAGTAGTTATAGATCAAAACTATGTGGCCACTACTCAGGTTAACAAATACAGCGTGACAGCATTGCAGGTACCCAGAAACCCTGTGTGCCCCTCCCGGATCAAAACACTCTCTCTGTCCCCTAGACGTAACCACCGTTCTAACTTTTGAGATAAGCATTTCCTTGTTTTTCTTACAGTTTTACCACACGTGGACCTATCCCTAAACAGTATAGTTTAGTTTTGCCTGTTTTGGGACTTTATGTGAATGAATCATGCTAGATATACTTCTGTGTTATGCTGCTTTTGTTCAGTGTTACGTTTGTGAGCTCCATCCCTGTTGTGATAGGTAGCCAGAGTTCATTCGTTTTCATTGCTTTATTTCAGTCTGTTGTATGAATAGACCACAACTTATTTATCCATCTTATCGTTGATAGATATTTAGGTTGTTTCCAGTTTGGGGTTGTACTATTCTGTGCATTTTGGAATCTCTCCTGGGGCTCATGTGTAGGCGTTCTCTGGGCATATACTTGGGAGTGGAATTGCTGGTCAGAGGGTATGCATAATTTTTCAACAAACTGTGATTATTGAATTTCATTTTCACTGGAGCTTTTAACCCTTACATTTTTAATGGAAATTTAAAGTCTTTCATTCTCATCTAAAAAGGTTTGTCTCTCCTATAGAAAAATGCAAAAATGGCAGCAGAAAGGCATTATTCTAACACCTTAAAAGCACTAGGAATATCTGATGAGTTTGTTTCAAAGAAAGGCCAAAGTGGAAAAATATTTGAATACTTCAGCAATCAAGAGATGAAAAGTTTCACTGAAGATAAAGAAAGGTAACATATATAAGATGTCTGAATGGTTTACTGTTGAAAAAATTCTTACTTGTGGGAAAGCATAAAATTCTGTTCTATAATATTTTAAAAGGTCTTTTACTTAATGGAATACATGTGAACTACTGTAAAATGTATTGATATTTTAACATGTTTGACACTGTAAAATATTACATGGTGATGAAGTATTTTGTCTTTAAAGTAAAATAATTTAAATTTCTGACTGACCTAAATAATGAAAATAATGACTTGCTTTCAGATGAAGTTTAAAGAGTCAATCAAGTTTTGAAATAAATTAGTTCTCAGAGGAATATTTATTTTCCCAGTTGGTCCTTTCATAGAGTTTTCTTGATAAATTGGAACTTAGGCACTTGAGGAAGACTGACTGCAGGCAGTCATGCATTGCAGAGGGTTTGTTTTCCCTTAAACCAGATCATTTTTCTTTTGAAAGACTGATGAATTTCTTCCTCTAGCTTTAATGAAGAAGAAAAGACAGGAGAAAGAGAGAATGGGGAAGAAAATTATTGTACTGATACCAGCAGCCAAGATTCTCACAAGGAAGAAGATGAAGCTGATGAAGAGCGTGGAGAAGAGAAGACAGGGGAAGAATAAAAGGGGAGGAATCAGCAGGGTCTCCTCTCTGTGCCCCTGCTCTTGTTGGCAGCATCGGGCGTCAGCGGCACTTCTGGTGTCAAGGACATGGATGAGGACCCCTCTGATATGTGCAGGGCTCTTGAGCAAAATCATCTTGTGGCCTGAAGAGGCCGAATCCAGCTGATGGGTGCTTGGTCAGATAGAGTAAGGCTTTGCCTATTCAGTTTTTTAAATCGCTGCATACGGTCTGTTTGCAACTTTGATTTTACTCTTATTTTTAAAAAATGTTTGAGAATCACAGCTGTCACAAGCCAATTAGGCATAAAAATATACATTACTTCATTATTTTTGGTGGAAAAAATTGCTTAGCACTGAGAGTGGAGAGAAGTATTGGCCTTTGGCGATTTGTTGGAAAAAAATTTTCAGGAAAGCATCAATCAATAAATATTTCTAAGTTATACTATTTGCCCATTCTTTTTCCCCACAGTACATCTCACAAAATGAATCCTCAGACTTACTTTACTAGATATTTTAAGTTTCTTATCTGAGCCATTTTTAGAAAGTAATAAGATATAGAAAAAAATTGGGTAACTTGGAAATTTACATTCATTTCTCCACTGAGACTTTACTGTTAAAGTATCCACACCATCATCACTTTTTGTCCTTTACCCCTACTTTTATTCCAATTTATTTTTGATATGTAAATTATTAGAAAAGTTTTTATACTAGTTTTTTTAGCTGTGTGTATTATGGCATTTGGAAATAATTATAGCAAAGAGTTATAATCTTAATGGGAAGTAAATATCACCCGTTTTATATATGATGAAATTGTGCATAATAATTTATTCGAGTCTCTAAAGTAATTCATATTTAACTCTTTAATTCTCAACCCATTTGTGCTCCACTTTTATACATCATTGCAGACACACTTGTCTTTCTGTGCATGATATTAATTTGATTTTATGAATCTATCATTTTTGCTCTTTGAGCAGATTTTTGTTTTAAAAATTCAAACCAGTCATAAAGATGTGATTGGGTAAGACTTTTTTTCCTTAAAACAACCAATATCCTTTAAAGACGATGAACTAATAAAGATGTATATAATAGTGTTTCCTAAAGGGCAATTTATACTTTAAATGAAGAAATAAGGTGATTTTTCTCAATCAAGGGCAAATGTTTACTTATAACTCCTTTCCTACAGATTGTGTTAAACTATTTGTCACTATCATTAGATTGTAAACTCTTTAAGACTTGGCACCATTTAAAAATTCATCTGTGTATGTCTTTTGCACAGGTTTGTACATACAGTAGGTACTTAATAAATGCTTGGATGAGTAAGTAGATGAATATGGTTTTCAATTATAGTTACTTCAAAATGAGTACACATGAGATTAAAAATATTTCCTTCCTTTCCAATTTATTGAGAACCTGTGAAACACAATCCACAAATTGTAAACTTTAAAACGTGACTTGCTTGCTAACGATTTCCTCCTCATTCTGTTTCTCCTTAGTTTCATGGGGAGAATTTGGGAGGACCAATCTTCAGTTTTCTTTAAAATTGGGAATATTACTTATCTTGGGTGGCTGTAGGAAGAACTGGATGAAATCATGTATGGAAAGGCTCTTTGTAAACTAGGCTATTCAAATGATAGTGTTAGAGGACAGAATATTCCTCAAGAAACTTTAACTAAACATACTTTTCTTTAAATGATATACAAAGTGATTTAAATATTATTTTGTTAGAAATATTTGAACAAATTATTGATTGATTTTTACTGAAGTATAGTTGATTTACAATATTATTTTAGTTTCAGGTATACAACATAGTGGTTCAATATTCTTACAGAGTGTACTCGATTTAAAGTTTTTACAAAATAATGGCTATAGTTCCCTGTCCTGTACAATATATCCTTATTGCTTATTTATTGTATACATAATAATTTGTGTCTCTTAATCCCATTCTCCTATCTTGCCCCTCCTTCCTTCCCTCTCCCCACTAGTAACCACTAGTTTGTTCTCTATATCTGTGAGTCTGTTTCTGTTTTGTTATATGCATTTGTTTGTTTTATTTTTAGATTCCACCATAAATGATAACATAGAATATTTGTCTTTCTCTGACATTTCACTAAGCATAATGCTCTGTAGGTCCATCCATGTTGTTGCAAGTGGCAGAATTTCATTCTTTTTTATGGCTGAGTAGTATTCCATTCTATATATATACCACATATTCTGTACCCATTTATCTGTTGATGGGCACTTAAGTTGCTGCCATATCTTGGCTATTGTAAATAATGCTGCTACGATCATTGGGTATGTTTATCTTTCCGAATTACTGTTTTCATTTTCTTTGGCTATATGCCCAGGAGTAGAATTGCTGGATCATATAGTAGTTCTATTTTTAGTGTTTTTGAGGAAACTCCATACTGTTTTCCATAGAGGCTGCACCAGTTTACATTCCCACTGATAGTGTACTAGGTTCCCTTTTCTGAACATCATCACCAACGTTTGTTACAACATAGACTTTTTGATGATAGCCATTTTGACAGGTGTGAACTGATACTTCATTGTGGTTTTGATTTGCATTTCTCTGATTATTAGTGATGTTGAGCATTTTTTCAGGTGCCTGTTGGCCATCTGTCTATTGGGGAAACGTCTATTCTTTGGAATATGTCTTCTGAACAGTTTTTAATTAGATACTTTTTTTTTATATTGAGTTGTATGAGCTGTTTATAAATTTTAGATATTAACCCTTTATTGGTCATATCATTTGCAAACATTTTCTCCCATTTAGTAGGTTATTTTTTTGTTTTGTCAACTGAACCACTTTTTAAAGGATAGTGATCTGGTAAACACAGAGCCAAACTTAAAAGACACTGGCAGTTTCAAATCCTTCTATGTAAAAATCACTATATATATATATATATATATTAGATTATATATTATATATATATATATATAATATATATATATATTAGGAAGCCATCAAATTCACAGCTGAAAGATTTCTTAGTGCATGGCATTACACAGTGATTGTTGGAAGTCAGTTTTAAAGATTAAATCAAAGATTTTTTCAGGTGGTAGGTAAAAAGCATTTTCCTTATTTTAAAAGTATCCTTTATGTTCATGGTAAACACTATCAATAATATAAAAGGGTATAAGTTTTTTTAAACAGCTTCTTGTGAATTCTTCAGAAATATTACATGTGTATGTAAATATTCTATAATACATATATTATAGCAATTCTATGCTATATGTAATCTCTGTCTATATCCTATGAATGGCATCACAGATTTCAGACATACCTGCTGTCACCTGCATCACTCACAGAGATGTCACCTCTTTGCAGACAAGCTGTCCTTCCCCAGACCTCTTAGTCTTTAGACCTTTGACTTGCTCATGCCCAGGGACCTCTTCTCTTCAACATTATCCCCCCCCCAAATCATTTCTTTGAACCCCACACTCTGACTACAACTGAGCTGCCTTCTACCTTTAGTTGCTATTTCTCTTTTCTGTTCACATCTCTCTGGATGTTGTGAAGCTCTGGATTCATCCACTCTTGTTTCTTCTCTTGCTTTCTTT